AAGCATCGCGTTCGCGATGGGTTTTACGCGTTCGCATAGAGAAAAAAGTGGGTCTATTTTCACCCATAGCAGCTCGTTTTTGGAGATTTTTGAAGGAGATTGAAGAGGGATTCGAGGGGAATCATTGGGAGGTAAGATTCTTGGACTAAAAACTCGATTATTATGTGAATTCCACCTAGAAAATCATGAAAACTAAGCCAAAAATTGAAGAACTAGGGCTTGAGTAATTAGACTTTTGAATTGGGATTTGAAGGACCATATGGGGTCGGAGTTTAACACTTTTGATATGTATGAACTCGTGGGGAGATAAGGAATCTATTGATGTAAAAATTTATGAGTTTCGAGAAGTGGGCCCGGGGCTCGGGTTTTGGTAATTTCGGGATTTGTGCCTTTTATTGATTGTTTTCGCTTGGGTTTTGTTCCCTTAGCATATTTTGACGTCTTCGTTCTGATTTTCGATAGATTCGACGCGCGTGGAGGCCAATTCGAAGGGCAAAGGCTTCGCAAGCTAGAGATATAGCCGGTTCGAGGTGAGTAATGATTGTAAATGATGTCCTGAGGGTTTGAAACCCCGGATTGCACATCGTAGTGCTATGTTGAGGTGAGACACGCGCTTGTTGACGAGCGTGGGGTCGTACACTATTGGGGATTGTGACTTGGTCCGTCCCGGTTGATGGCTTTACCACGTATTTGACTGAAACTTAATTGTTATCACTATGATTTGGGGTGAATGCCATATTTAGGCTTCGCACCAACTATTTGAACCCTTCAGAGCTTTTTATTGATATTCCCTCACTGTTTTGACTTACTACTTGAACTCAGTCGTGTTATTTTCCACTGTTTTACTACTCAACCATTTTTACTCAGTTTTGAGACTTAAATGACATTTTAAATGATGTTCTAGGCTGAGAAACACTGTTTTACTATTGCCCGAGGGGCCTGTGAGTATTTTTGACTGAGTAAGGCCGAGGGCGTATGTTGTGAGGAGACATTGATACTGATTTGAGGCCGAGGGCCTGAGATATGTACGCCACGAGGTTGTTTGATTGATATGAGGCCGAGGGCCTAGTTTGATGCCACGAGATGGCTTGTTATTGCGCTTGGGCCGTAAGGGGACCCTCCAGGAGTCTGCACACCCCCAGTGAGCGCGGGTACCCAGTGTGATGTGAGATTGAGCCCGAGGGGCTGTTATTGTTCTGAGATGTTGCCCGAGGGGCGGATGTGGTGATACTGTGCCCGACGGGCGAGCTTCTATTTATTTACTGTACCTTATCTGTCTGTCAATTTCCTGTTTATTTGTTGAAAGAGGATTTTTACCTATCTTTTCACTGGTTTACTGTTTTAAATGACTTTACTTCTTCATTATAGACTGCTTTGTGCCTTGCGTGTTTTCTTACTTTCAGTCATTATTTACATTTGTTACTCACTGAGTTGGAGTAATCACTTTACTCCCTGCACCCCGTGTGCAGATTCAGGCGCATCAGGTCCCGCTCCCGAGTGCTGATTCATTCCAGCTTCAGGCGGATCTTCGAGGAGTCTTTAGGTAGCTGTTGGCGTTTCGCAGCCTGGAGCTCCTCTCTGTCTATTTCTGTTACAGTCTTAGTTCAGTATTTTAAACTCTGTAGTTACCTTTGAGGATTTGGTATTGTTAGATGCTCGTGACTTGTGACACCCCGATTAGGGCTGTGTTGGGTTATGTTTCCGCACTTTATTGACGTTATTCGCTACTTAATGCTATTAAATTATGTTTTAGACTGTTTTATGTTGTTTTACTGGTTAAAAAGGTAAATTGAGTTTAGTTGGCTGGCCTTGTCTTCATGAGAGGCGCCATTTCGACCAGGTTGGGATTTAGGGTCGTGACAAGTTGGTATCAGAGCCTAGGTTACATATACAATGGAAAATAAAAGAAGAAACGTACAGTTACGGATGGGAGGGGGAAAACATGCTGCGGGGACATCGAATAATAGCAGAAGGACAACAAGTAAATATAAGGATCACCACAGTTCGATTGAAGATAGACAGGGGGAATCATGCTGCGGGGTACAACAAGTATCAACAGAAAACCAACAATTTAATGTAGAGAAACCATAACTCAGCTATCAATAAAAATCAGGAAATCAAAGACAAGTGCACGGCATCACCCTTCGTGCTTTAACACTCTCTCACCAAAACAATGCACGGCATCACCCTTCGTGCTTTAACACCCTCTCACCAAAACAATGCATGGCATCACACTTCGTGCTTTACACTCTTCCTCACCCAAGCAACAATCACATAGCAATTTGGGCAAGGGAATCAATAACATCACAATAAAATCAAGTAACAACAGGAAATTAGTAAGTAAATGTAAAGAACACCGTAACTCAATTATCAGTATAATCAGAAAAATCAAGGACAAGTACACGGCATCACCCTTCGTGCGTTTACTCTCGTCCTCACCATGAAAATTATTATAATTGGCACGGCATCACCATTTGTGCTTTTACCTCATATAATCACTCATATAAAGGCACGGAATTGTACATCGTGCGGCACGACATCACCCTTCGTACTTTACACTCTTCCTCACAAAACAATGCACGGCATCACCCTTCGTGCTTTAACACTCTTCCTCACCCAAACAACAATCACAAACAATAAGGGCAAGGAAATAGATGAAATCACAATAATATCACAATAAAATCCTGGCAAGGGAACAATATCAAAAAGCAACAACGTCCCGACAAGGGAACAATACCATAATCCTCTTCTCTTTTTCACATTTACTTCACAACTCGATTCACAAATTGAGCCAATGCTCCATAAGGTTCAATTTCCAAATATTCTTTCATAATTCGCTTCACAACTTGAGCCAACGCTCTTCACTGTTCAAATACCAATATTCTTTCCACAAACCTTGCTCAACAATAGCAATCATCACATTACACGTGAACAATACAAATGGAGTCACATTAATCATAACATAAGACTCACGGGCATGCTTGACACCAACGTATAGATACTCGTCACCATGCCTATACGTCGTACATAACAAATAACACATAGCAAATAGGACACGACTCCTAATCCCTCAAGCTAAGGTTAGACCAAACACTTACCTCGATGCCTCGAACACAGTTCAAGCCTCAACTATCGCTTTACCGCTTGATTCCACCGCCAATTCGCTCGTATCTAGCCACAAGTTACTTAATTATATCAATAAATGCTAAATGAATCAATTCTAATGCATGAAAATAAGTTTTCTAAAAATTTTCCCAAAAAGTCAAAAATCGACCCCGGGCCCGCATGGTCAATACCCGAGGTCGAACCAAAACCCGATTACCCATTCACCCACGAACTCAAATATATAATTTGTTTTTAAATCAGACCTCAAATCAAGGTCCAAATCCCCAAAATTTGAAAAACCTAGGTTCTACCCAAAACACCCAATTTTCCCCCATGAAAACCTTTAATTTTGAGTTGAAATCATGTGAAAAGATGTTAAAAGTTGAAGAAAACGAGTTAGAAACAACTTACAATCGATTTGGAGAAGAAATTTTCTTTGGAGAATCGCTCAGGAGAGTTTATGTTTTGAGAAGGTATGAAAAATGGCTGAAAATGCGTCTAAGTGTTAATTAACTGGTCTCTGATGTTGCAATTGCGACCAGGGTTCGCAATTGCAAACCCCTTCAAGACCTGCTATCTTCGCATTTGCGAAGAATATGTCGCAATTGCGACGCTGGAAAAAAAATTCATTATCTTCGCATTTGCGAGGAAACAGTCGCATTTGCGACTCTGGCCCCTTCGCATTTGCGATCGAGGCCAGCCCAGGCCATCTTCGCATTTGCGATGGGCTACTCGCATTTGCGAGCCAGGCTTCACAAATGCGAAGACTGCAGGCCTACAACATACCAGCAAATTCCTAAGTGTAAATTTCACTCCGTGGCCTATCCGAAACTCACTTGAGCCCTCGGGGCTCCAAACCAAACATGTACACTAACCCAAAAACATCATACGGACTTGCTCCTGCATTCAAATCACCAAAATAACATCAACAACTATGAGGTTTAGCATCAAAATCATGAAATCACTTAAGAACATCAAAAATTTCCAATTTTCTCAAATAAGCTCCGATTCACGTCATTTTAAGTCCGTTTCTTACCAAATTTCATAGACTCAACTTAAATCACGTATCAGACCTGTACCGGGCTCCGAAACCAAAACACGGGCCCGATACCACCAAATTTCAAACACATTTTATTTCCAAAAACTCATATATTTTCCTAGAAAACAATTTTCTTTAAAAATTCATTTCTCCGGCTTGGGACCTCGGAATCCGATTCCGGGCATACGCCCAAGTCCCATATTTTCCTACGGACCTCCCGGGATTGTCGAAACACGGATCCAGGTCCGTTTGCTCAAAATGTTGAATAAAGCCAACAATAATCATATTTTAACTCTAGAAATTTCTATTTCTCATATTTTCACATGGAAGGCTTTCCGGATATAGGTCCAGACCACGCACGCAAATCGAAGTGAGGTAATAAAAGAGGTTTTTAGGCCACGGAGCACTGAATTTGTTTCTAAAACAAGTGATGACCTTTTGGGTCATCACAAGATTTTAGATTCTTTTCATGTCAATTAACTACCATATCCTTATCAATTATTTTTATCCCGAGCTTGTCTATATCCAAATACCAACAAATTATTTTCTAATATCAAAGTCACCCATCTTTGGCCTCTCTTAAAAATTGTAATATTATAAGACCCGATCTCGTCAGTTTCTTAGGCACATATTCCCAAATATTGTACCCTTAGCCTTCAATATTTATCTACTAGTGACTAGATATATCTTTTTTCAAAAAAGATTGACTTAAGTTGCACATCAAAGCAAACACAAGTTCAAGGACAATACGGCCAACCAAATCACAGTGATTGGCCTAGATGCGGATGAGTTTGAGTACAAGAAATTCGAGTCATACCAAGATAAGATTGCTAAGGTTGAAGCAAAAGTGGCACAA